TTAATGATTCTATGACTCTATGATTCTATCTTTTGAATATCCCATGTAGTAATTGAATCTGTTGAAAATGCAAGGGGGATACTACCAGTGTAAATCAAAAAGGAAATGTGGTAGTACCCGAGTATTTTAATGTAAATACTGTGATGGCCTGCTTGAATAGAGAAAACAGAGGGGAAAATAAGTTCAATTGTGTGTTTTCTGTGCAGTCAGTTTAATCTGTTTGCTTGTCAGAAATCGTCAATAAGGTAGTTGATTTTCCCTTGAAGCTGAATGGAAAAATGGTTGTATTGCAGTAGGCGTTTAAGAAACAAATCAGTTTTACGTGAATAAATAGAGGCCAATTATTTATGGAAGATGGTTCAGGATTACTACTTTGTATTCATTGCTTACCATTAAAAGGCCACAAGCATTTAAATGGAGCCCCAAATTGACATTTTGTGAATACAAGCTTTTGTATGTCAGGACAGAAAAAATGCACCCAAAGAGAATATAACTCCAGTGAAATGGATTGTTAGAAAATAAATGTTGTATTACATGACTGCAGAAGATAGGAAGGTTTTGGTGGACCAGGCACTTCCCCTTGCTGCGGTCTGGGGTGTAGATCTGTAGCAGTACCCTTGAATAGGTCTCACTATAGTCAATGAACCTCAAGGGAGCTGAGTGCATAAGTCTCTGCTGCTTTTAAACTAACGCATCTAGTTGTGTCCAACTATTTTGGTAACACGGTTTAAAGCTGTGACATACTGTCCTTGGCACTGGTAAGGACACTGACCTCTTTTCTTCCCTGTCTGGCTAGCACACCCAGCCTTCCCTTCCAGCCAAGCCTTGGTGTGACCAAAAAGCCGGAGTTCTTGTGGCAGGGCAGCCCCAGGGAATCTTTTCTGTTTGCCAGGTCAAACTCCTAACAAAGAAAAAGTCAAAAAGTGAATTTGGCTCAGCTGATTTCACTGCTGAGGCAGACACAACTGCAAAATACAATCTTAAGTACAAAAACTGGCTTTTTTAGTAGTACAGCATATGATTGGAATTTGTGTCCAGGTAAGCACATAATTATACATAAGTATAATTTTAGAAGAGACTGGCATTTTTAAAGGAAATTGCATGGTTTGCAGGGGAACATATACTAGCATCTGATTTAAAGCAGACAATTTATATGCAGTGTGGTTGACTTCCAAAGTGTAACTTGATTTCCTTCTCCAGCTGTGCCCTTTTCATGGGGATGGCAAAGTGAGAGTAGCAGGAAGAAAGCTTCAAAAGTGAGACTTATTATTCACACCACTTGATTTTTTTTTAGCACAAGTGAGTCTGAGCACTGAGGTCTGCAAAAAGTTTGCCTGATGGTCATTTTGATCTAGCTGCCAGAGAGTGCTCCAGCCCTCGCCCACTGGTGGAGGATCTCTGTGCTGACTTGCTGCCACCTGCTGCTCATTCTTTGGAAAGAGCCCACTTGGTTAACAAGCAGCATTCATACAATCACTGCCAGATCGAGTGCAGGTTTGTTCCCCAAAAAAGTTGCTGTGGGCACTGCCCTCCAGTTAAGGTTGCCAAACACTCTTGGTGCTCTCTCCGTGTGTGGTCTCTGAACAATGCTTTGAATCTAAGTTTTTCCAGAATTATTAGTAAGACTGCCTGTCTTAACCCTTGTGCCTCAAATTTGAAGAGACCTGATTTTCCCAGGGTGGGTGAAAAAGTTAGATTTCAACTACTAGAAATTAGTGGCGACCTTTATAGCCTGAACAAGAACAGAATTGCTCTTTCTGTTCTTGTCTAAAGAAAGTATTTGCAATGGTGTATCAGGTCTCCCACAATATTTACTGTTTTACTCCAGCTGCTGAAGTTGTATGAATATAAAGGCATCTCAGCTATTATTTGTAAAGATATGTTTGGGGTCTTCAATATGCTAAAGAAATCTAGAAAATCTGAATCCTATGGATCTGTAAAACCAGCAAAATATATTCTTTTAAAAAAGTTTTTGTCAGTCAAGAAAAGCTCATGAATATTCAAGCTTTGACTTTTCTTTTGAATACTTGTAATTATTAGTACCACAAAAATAGGAGACTTTGTAGATATTACTCTGGATCTTTCTCTGTTTACAGAGAAGCGGTTCTTCAGGCGTTCAAAATCGGGTGACATCCTTGCCAAGAACCCTGTGGTGCGATCGAAAAGCTACAACAATCCACTGCTGACGCCAGTGGCCGAGTATGAAACCGAGGGCATGGCTGCCAATGGAACGGGCATCCGAAGGCACTCTGTTTCAGAAATGACCTCCTGCCTGGAGCTACAGGGGTACTCCAACCTCACCACCATCATGGACAACGGTTCCAAGAGCTCCATGACAGCCACGAAAAACTCGCTGTCAGGAGACCAGGAGAGGCCCAGCACCGGCTCAGTGCAATGCTCTAGCAAACTCAGCACAGTTGAGCAACAGAAAGGACTCTTCCACTCGATGGACGACCCACGTAGGTCTTTTGAGCTGGACAGGGACCCTTCCTTGATTCCAGTTCCCTCTTCCAGCCCTGAGAACATAGTGGATCAGATTTTGGAGTCAATGGACTCTGATTCTGAAGGCATTTTTATTGATTTTGGCCGAGGCTGTTCGAGTTCATCAGCATACAATGTGGATGTGAACAGACAGAGCATCATGTGAAGGACATTGGGAGACAAACCTTGGGGTTTAATATTATATATGAAAGTTACTAACGCATTGAGTCGGACTATGGACAAGCTATATAAGCCTCTGTTGCAGGTCATCACAGCTGTACTGAAGTACACAAACACAAGTTTACAGCAGACAGGAATCTGCTGCAAGGGGGAAGAAACTCCAACCACTTCTCCCTGTCCCCATCACTCTGCAGTCAGATTTCCTATTGTCTTTATAAACTTAGGGGCTCACCAGCTGACAAGCGTCTGGTAAAATGCTATTAGTGCAGCTGGCAGTGTTCCTTCAGTAAAACAGCCTAGCAAATAGCTGTGTTCACTTTTAATTTTCTCAAGAGATTTCACATAGATGGCAGGTTGTTCTCTGAACTGTAACACTTCAGCCAGAGAAAAAACATAACCTTTTAAAAAACCAAAAAAAACCAGAGGCTGTGGGCCTTCATGCCACAGAATACAGTGATAAAGAAGTCTCTTTTAATCTTTTTCTTGTACATCTTGTATGCACTCCTTTGCCTAATGGCGAGTTAGAGTTCTTGAAGAAAGGCAAATAAACAGAAATGTGCTACCTGATGTCACACGATGCCTCATGTCTCATGTTCTGTTTCACAGCCAATACCTTGTGTTTGTGAGAGTTGTCTTGAAACTGGCTTTTAAGGCCATGTTAATTTGCTCTGAACATGGCACTTGCAAGAAATCTGTGCATGGTTGACTCCTGGAGCATCCGTTGTATGAAGAGATTCCAGCAGAATTCAAGTTACTTGTTTCCTAAATAAATAAAAATAGGGCCTCTTGGTGGAAATCTTCATTATATATTTATATTCTTAAAGCAATACAATAATGTATATACTGTCAATTATGTACTGATATTTGGGGAGTGTGAACCTTGCAGCTCTTCTCATCCTGAGCGCTCCCAGCTCTTTGATTCTCCCTCGCAGTAAGATGGTGTTGTAAGAGCTGTGTCAGTGGTTTTACAGAGGATTGATGCACATGATACTAGAAATCCTGATGTCTGATAGATTTTTTGGTCAGACGGCTTTACAGTGAAGAAAGAGCTACTTCAGGTCACTCCATTCTAGGCATCTCCTCTGGAGGAGAGAGTCAGTCGGTAACTCCTGAGCTGCTCAGCAGAGACCGGTCATTAGTTCGGTCCAGCAGCACCTGGCACTTAGCTCAGATGCTCAAGGACTCTCCAGCTTCGCTCTGCACTTGCACTGCTGACCCCAATATTCGCCAAACTCTTCCCCAGGCTTTGATTATGTTTCTAGGCTCAAGGCCCCACTTCTGATGCTTAATTTCCTTTGGCCTCACTACTTGATCTTTTGGAAATGTGAGCTCAATCTTTTGCTACCGCCCTGCTTCACTGCTGGAGATTTCAGCTTCCGGATAGGTGTGCAGGGTCCCCATAACAGAGAGATTTGAGAACCTCAGAAGCCAGCTGAGGAAGGAGGCCCATAAATGAGGCAGAGGTTTGGTGTCTGGTTTGCTTCTTTGTGTTTGGCATGTTCAGCTGTGCAGCCTCCCCTACAGGTAGGCACTTAAGTTAGGTCATAATTAAAAGTTTCTTGTATACAGAGATAAATAATTGCTTCTACGTCCCAATAGTCTCAAACCTAACAGCCAGGGAACACACCTGGATGGGACCATCCAATGTGGGGCAGAGTCAGTGCGGAGGTACTTAACACCAACAGGCAGAAATGCAGGTGCAGCAGAACATACCCTCAGCGAGAGCAACTCTGGTGCCTGGGGGGATCTTTGAGGTCCAATAAACAAATCGGCTTAGGATGCCGGCACCTAACTAGCCCTCTGGATCTGCAACTAAAAGTTGCAGATTATCAGGTCACCCATTTGGGTGCTTCCTGGCCATGGCGATACCTGTACAATCCCGCAGTCGTGCACCGGGGCACACTCAGGAGTACTTCACTCCTGATGGGGCTGAGTATGTTGGCAGCTCGCTCACACCTGTGGTTTATCAGGTTCCTACCAACTGCTTGGTGCTACCAATGAGTGTTTGCCCACCCTCTCCTAGCTGTGGGCCATGATGAGCCTGCAGTCTCAAGGCACATTTGTTGCCAGATTTGGCCCTGTGCAAACCACAGGAGAGAGAGGAGGTCTCACTGAACTTGGATCCAATATATGACAGGATCAGTGATTTCCAAAAGTGTCCTAAAGTGGTACAAGCCCCCATGCTGGCGCCCTCAGTCTCCACCCTCATTCCTTCTGACAAACGCTGTTCTATTTCCTGAATTATTATTTAGGTTGGAGAAAAAGAGTATCCACAGCCTTGTTCTAAGGGGAGGAGAAGATAGATTCAAACCCCTACAAGAAAATTTTAAAAACATAGTGGATCAAGGCCTCTGCACACCTTCTTCCCTTAGAGAACATTAAATGTAGTAAGAGTCATAAGCTTGCTTAATTATTGGGGAATACTGAAGCACAGTTTCAACTGAGAAGAGAAAGGGACTGCTAGGGCCCTTCCCACCTGAGCTTTTGCATGGTTAGTGCCCTCCCCTATGATAGGAGACCTTGAATCCCCTGGTATGCTGGCAATGAACTGACCTCTCCCACCTTGCACGCATGGAGCTAGTGAATGAAAATCCTCCTCTAGCTGTTTGAGAAGGTTGTTTAAAGATTGGGTTCAAGACAGTGACCACATAAGAGGACTATTCCTAACAGCCACCTCAGAAAACCTCAAAGAGGAGCAGGATTTAGGAAATAGTCTTGTCTTCGGCGTTTCCTCTTGGCCGAGGCAGGCAGCCTGGCACCTGTTGTAGAAGCCTGTTCTTGGACGCTTCGCCTTCCCACGTGCGCTGCGTGGTGAACCAGCTATCCCGGAGCGTTGTAGCATTGCAGCCCAGCACTTCCAATCTAGCTTTTACATTTCTAAGTCTTACACTTAAAGTGGGCTTTTTAGAGTCAAAGCTCTAGCAGCAGAAAGATGTAATGTAAGCTTTCATTAGCAGCACGTAGACTTTTCAGCAGATACAGACCAAGCCCTGTTCACCAGGACCACACTGGAGAATGGGAGAAAAGCCCAGCCCCGCCCCACCCCCAAAATTGTGATTACTGGCTGTGATAGGGTTGAATGAGTATTTAAGGAAGTTGGGTTCTGCCTTGTTGGGATTTATTACTTGTTGTTAGATGTTGGGATGTTCTGTGAGTGCTGCTGAGCTGAAGTAAAAGGCTTATATTTATCCTTTTTAGGATGAAGAGGCTTTCAACTGGCTTCATGTAAGGTGAGTTAACCTGGTGATGCTGTAATGGAACAGGCTGAGCTCTGGTGTTGCTGCGGTTTAGAGCTTTCTGAACTAAACTTGCCTCTGCTAGCAAATGTGGTGTTCACAAAAGTGTTGTCTGCTATGCTAAAGCTCTACTACTGGGGTAATGACTAAAGAGGGAGCAAATGTATTCTGACTCTAAGGGTTCAAACTGCAGTTTCAGGGCTATTTTTTAATTAAAGAAAACGTTATAAACTCAGTAGGCTTGTTATGAAGAGCCTGAAAATCTGAAGTCAGAGCTAAATTCCCTACTGCAATGGTGATAGAGTGGCATTTTGTCTCTCCTTCAAATTTATATTAAAATACTTAGGCAGATAGGACTGTAAATTGAGAAACTGGGTGTGGTGGTCTAGCTAATCCCTATGAAAGCCACCATCTCTGTTGTCCTCAGAGATGAAGTTTCTCACCAACTCGTTCCCCAAGAAGTGGCATGACTGAGGGCACTACGTACTCTGTAGAAAGGTGTAGGTGGACCTGTGCTCTAGCTCTGTGCTTTGAGCTTTTGTGCAGGTCTGGTTTGTAGTCGCAAGACCATGCGTGTGAATGTGCAAGGTGTGGAGGGGCATGGAATCAGACGTAGCCCTGGGAGGACAGATCACATGAGTGATGCTGAGCCAGGCGTGTGTGGGCAATCAAAGCCCAGTGTGCCAGTGTTCAGTGACTTTAAATGCTGCACAGATGTGAGACTACCCTAATTTGTGATCCTTCTACCAGTAATCTCAATGCAGACAAGTCAGGGATGTGGTCTTCTTAGAGACAAATCATGGAGTCATTACAAAGGAAAAATGTGTATCAAAGAGAATAGTGCAGGTTCTTGCCAAAATATATTTATGAAGTGATGGCTTTCAGCTTTCAGATGCTGCTACGTGGCAGTGTCCCAGTGCACCAGTTATCACTTTGTCCCTGAGGGGGCGTTCTCAGTATGCCAGTTATTCCTCCCCACCCTTCCTTTGTTATGGTAAACTGTGGCATTTTATATCCCAATCCAAAAATCAAAAGCTCTCTGCTCTTTCCGTGGTTGGAATGGGTTCCAAAACCCTAGGAGGGATAATATGGAGCAACAGTTAGCACTTACAGCTCCTGTCATCTGGCACTGCAGGGTGAATGTTACGCAAGCAAAAGGTGGGAGACTAACCTAGTGAACAGCTGCTGAGCTCTGTGGAGAAGTAATACAGCTCCCTGGAGCACAACTGGAAATAGCAGAATAATTGGCTGCAAATAATGCTGCCCAAATAGAGGCTTTTTTTTGTGGAAATGGGGAAAATGACTTTCCATTATTCAATTAGCTCCTGGCAAGCTGCTTTTGATAATGCTTTTGACTAAAACAAACACACTTGCTGATACCTTCTGAACCACTGAGCTGTGGTGACAGAAGAGCTATGGGCCACCTTCTTCTAGGGCTACCATACAAACATGCAAGTATAGGAAAATATCTGATCTCTCTCTAAAGTTCTGGTTAGAGATGTATGGATTGCCCTTTTATTAGGATAATATCCTGTAAGAACATCTTGGAAATAAAGATGTCAGAAAGGCTTTAGTGTTATTTTTGAGCTCTGGTCTGCAGAGGTGTGATGTCATTCGAACTTTTCTCAAAGTACCAAAATTGGGGGGAGGAAGAGGGGGGAGCAGAAACCCAGATATCAGTTGAGCTGGCAGTGCTGCAAAAAACATACGCAGCCATTTTAATAATAAATAAATCTTTGTCACCATGCCCTTCAGGAGAATAAAATGCTTGGTTTACAATTGAAGTTTTGTTTGCACCTTTCCACAAAGGAAAAAATACACTTCTAAAAGGGGAATAAATATATTTTTGTCTTGAAGAGCCTTCTAACATCCCTTTCTCTTCTCATGGCATGGTAGCCACAGCAGCAG